GCTGTCTACGGGAGATCTGCTCCCGCACCTCGGGGACCTCGTCCCCGCGCCCTCCCTCCTTTCCGATCTCGAGCTCCCCTCCCCAGCTAACCCAGATCCGGCCCGAAGGGCAAGACCTTTCTCAATCCAGCCCCGCACCTAATGCCCAGGACCCCCACCCGGCGGGGCGCGGGGGATCACCCCGCTTGACTATAATTCGCCCCAGGCGGGTTTCCCGGCCCTCAATCCGTGCCAGCGCCTGGGACCGGTCAGATCCTTCCCAGCCCTGCCCCGACCACTTGAATTTGCAAAGCCCCCTGCTTTCTTCTCGGCGGCCAGAAAGTCCAAGAAGACTTGGACTTCTTGGGAGGGGGCTGCCACGCGATTTCAAACGAGACTATTTTACTCTGGGGGAGTCGCCCTTGGTGCTGAGAATGGCCGGGGGGGAAGGGAGCAAAGGGGATGATAATACTGCTCCCGAAGAGGCAGGGGTTGCGCCCTGCCGCAGCCGATTTCTAAGGGATCGGATCGACTTCTTAATCTAATCGATTTCCAAGGTATGGGCTTCTAACGGATCGGATCGGATCCCTGAAAGAATCACATCCGCCCCGAGAAACCCGGGCTGGGCCCCCGGGACAGTCCCTGCGGACCGCTCTGCCCTGCTCCGCGGGGCCTGACCCGGCCCCTCCGCGGGGCTTAGTGCTGCCAGGCGGCAGGCTGCGCCGGCAGGATCAGGCCCGCCCCGCCTGGGAGGGGTAGAGATCGCTTCAAGGCCTTAAGCCATTATTATATGAAACCAGGAGGCAAAGTCTATGCCGTTTTCTCTGGTTTTTAAAGCTGGTTTTGGCCCTCCCGGGCAGTGACACAGAGTGGGGATGTGTCCTTCCTCGGACTTTCCAGTGTTACAGGCATCGATGCAAGCAATCTCAGCCATTTCCTCCTTAAAATCAGCTAATTGGGCTAATGCAACACAAGCCTCCCCCCCACCCCCCGATGATTTGGGATGTGCATGTGATCCCTGCCCCCCCTGGTTGTTTTCGCAGTCGCCTCTGGTCGCTTATCATGTGCTACAGACACAGCAATCGCTCCCGGCCCGGCCCCTCGTCTCCTGCTGCGGGCTCCGGTACCGGCGGCCTGTGGAAGCAGGGATCTCTCCGGAGTCCTTTCCGCTTGTCCCTAAACCCGGCTGTCCTCTGCCTCTCGGGCCCGATCCCTTATCAAAGGGACCGGAGCCGGTTGCTTTTGTATGGACATTTTCCTCCCCGGCGGGGGAAATTGTGACCCCTCTGTATTTTTTCCCCCCACTCAAAATAATTTCGCTTTTGAGAAAACCACGCCCTTGATTCACGCTGGCATGATCCCTATGGGGTACTTTCGTGGGCACCGCTGTTGTAGGATTTAAATAAGTAACGGGACAGCCGAGATGGGTACACTTCTGGGCTCCTGCGTTTGGGGTCATCTAACTCCCTTTGATGACCCTGAGAAGTGGTACACACACACACCCATACACGCCACGTATCTCACACACACATCACACACACACCACGTATCTCAGACCCATAGCTCACGCACACGCCACACGTGTCTCACACATACATCTCACACACACATACACATGTATCACACACCACACACGTATCACACACATACACAAACACACACCTCTCTTCTGGCTTCAGTCTCTCCCTAGACCCCTGTTTAGTTTCGGACCAGACCCGGGTTTTCAGCTCTATCTGAAACGGAGGCAGCATTTCAGCTCGCAGATCTCTCTCTCTCTCTCTCTCTTTTACTCACACACACACGCGCACACACGCTGTAGCTGCAAAGGCTGCTCCAGTCCAGCCAGCCACAAACCCAGCCCAGCTCGATCCAATTTCCCGGCAAAAAAAAGCTTCAATGTCACCTACATCGAGACGGTGGCTTAGTGGTGCAAAATGCGAGGCATCTTAAACCCATTAGGTATCTCCCAGATGCAAATCCAATGGTGGAAAGAGAAAGGCTCTATTAAGACCCGGGGGTTGACAATTAGATTATAGTCCAATTGCCAGTGGATAATGTGCTAAAAGCTTTCCCACTTAGTGTAACTCCTTACTGAAAATTATTCACACTTTGCAGGCTACTGCACTCCCACAGTGGAGACGTCTTTGTCTACAGAGACAGTGGCCAGCCAGCCACACACACACCCAACACAATCATGAGACTCATTAAGCAGACCCAGGGCAACAGCACACCTAAACAGCAATACACACGTCGGGTGTGAATGTACACGGTGCGTGTACACACACAGACAGAGACTGACAACCACGTGTGCCTGAACGTGCATGCACCATACCAGTCTAAACACTTAGGAAGTGGAAGATTTGATTTTATTGTCTCTCTTGCGTCGCTACGAGGTTTGAACATCGTGTATAGAAACCGTGAGTGACATTTATATGGAGTTTCTTTATTTGCAGTTGATTTATAGGAAGTTATTGCCAAACAAGCCAGCTTGTGCCACTTTCCGTGGAAACGCTCGGAAAAGATGATCAAACACAATCAAAAGATGATCAAATACAATCTCAGCTATTTAGACTTTAGCCCTCTGTTGCAATATATACGTTTAAAGATCATTAATTTCTCTAAAATGCCAAGCAGGATACTTGAATGCACAGATTAGGAGTTTTGCTGGTTGGGTTTTTAAGGCTAACGATCTGCAAAGCTGCAATGGACTTATTAAAATGTGTTTCCCATGTAGAGTTTGATATACTTTACACTGCCTGTGCCTACAGGTCTTCACCTAGACCCAATTACCAAGAATCAGTTGCAATGCTTTCCCCCCAGACCCTGGCGAAATTAAAACGGTGCGATCGCCCATGGTGAGTGTTTCATACGTTGAACACAAGCCACAGGGAATTCAAGCCTGGCTGTGCCTGTACCTGCGCGGTTCAACACAACGAATAATACTGGCAAAGGCCAGAGAGCCGCAGATGATGCTAACAGAAAAGAGGCTTTGAGAAAGTTACTGCGACAAGAATTTAAATAGAAGAAATCCTGAAATCCCTTCCACAACTGGGTTAAGTCAGATCCTTTCCCATTACACTGAGCGCGCTGCTGCCTGATCCTCCCAAAACGATCACTGTCGCTTGCACACTGGAGTTTGACTTGTTCGGGTTGCGAAATATATAGACATATTTCAATATTTATTAAATTAATAGTAAATATTAAATATACGCATAGACAGTAAACACATTTTAATATCTCTCTATATTTATCTATATAGATATCTATCTATATATATCAATAGCTCTATAGATATACATCTATAGATCTCTAGATATTTATAGATTTCTATATGTGTATAGATACGTATATGTTTATATCTATAGACATGTCTACAGATTTATAGATATATCTATAGATCTATTGATATACATCTATAGATGTCTAGCAATCTATAGACTTATATATGTGTATAGATATGTATAGATATATCTATAGTTCTCTAGATATCTATAGGTTTCTATATGTGTATAGATATGTATGTCTATATCTATAGACAGATATGTCTATAGATTTATAGATATATGGATGTGTCTATAGATTTATAGATATATATTTATAGATATATTGCTATACATCTATAGATCTCTAGATAGCTATAGATTTCTATATGTGTATAGATATGTATATGTCTATATCTATAGACGTATATGCCTATAGATTTATAGATATATGGATATGTCTATAGATTTATAGCTATATAGCTATAGATCTATTGATATACGTCTATAGATCTCCAGATGTGTATACATTTATATATAACTAGAGACCTATAGATGTATATCAATAGAGCTATAGCTATACATCTAGACATATCTATGTGTATCTACAGATCTACCTATCTACCGATAGATAGATAGATAGATAGATAGATAGATAGATAGATAGATCACAGGAAGCCCTTTCCCAAGGGCTCTGAGTCGGGACCGCCAGGCTTTACGTCCCCCGGCGGGTAAGGAATTGCAGAACTGAGTACCAAGCAAGACCTTGGAGCAGGGCAGAAGTGTCCAAGGAGGGCACCTAACGGGCTGCACACAAGCTGCGGGAAAGGAGCAGGCAGGGAAGAGTTGGGCTGAAACCCGCGCCCACGGGAATCAAAGGGAGTTTTACCCCCTCGCTCCTTCCATGGAGCTAAGATCCCAGCTTGCACGTCCCTGCCTCCCTCTGAATGCGGGCTGTAGGGGAAGGTGCAACAGGCAAGGGCTCTCCAGTTAGCACGATCGCCAGGGTGACTAGCTAGCCCTTGCTGGGAGGCTTGTGCCAATCGCTGTGTATAAGGCCCTCCCCCACTCCCGGCCGCTCCTCGCTGCAGGGACTCTGCCCGGCCGCGCGGCTCGGGTGCAGGTAAGCGGGCGGGCGGGGGTCTCATGTCACGTCTGTCCGTCACCCGCTTCAGGCAGCATCACGGTGCTCTTCCAAGCTAAAACAAATCAATCATCCCCTATCAGTAGTGCGGAGGGTGTCTAGAAGGAGGGGTGGCTGCTGCTGCATGTGTTTGTTCCCTGGATCTGCAGGAGCCAGGCGAGCCCGTGCGGGTCCCACCCGCTGGCGGGAGCGGGTCTGGCTCGGGGAAGGGGCGCTCCGATCCCACCCCGCTGAAGCCGGGAGTCCCGACCGGGCCCCTGCAGGGAGCCGGGAGGAGGAAGGGACCCGCGCCCGCTGTGATCCAGCAGCCCCATGGGCCGGGGGAGCCTTGCCCCCCTGCTCAGCAACGCCGGGCGGGGCAGGGACCCCGGGGCGCCATCGCCCCCTCCCTCCCGCCCGCCCCAAGCCCCCGGGGCCAGCTTTTGCTGCCCTAGAGGGAAAGGGGGGAGCCCGCGTTTGTCCTGTGCCGGCAACTCCATGCGAGCCCAGCAGGAGAGAACTGGAGATGAACTGCAGCTCATCTGGAGCGAATTCCTCGTGCAGATCAGGCCTCCAGAAAGGCGGCTAGGCATTCAAGATGCCAGGGGACTTTGGGCCAGCGGTTACATATTGCTATCCTAGCCGGGGAACATCTAGACTTGGCGGAAAGCAGAAATTCAGCAAAGGCAACAAAGCCCAAAGTCCCTGCCACCAGACCCAAAACCTGGGGGAAGTGGGTGGGGAGGCTGCATTGTGTTTTGGTAAAAACAATAAAAAAGAATACAAAATAATAAAAGCCCCAGAGTTTGGAAAAAATAATTGAATCGTCTCCACTATTCTCTAGCTTTACACCCGTTTTGGCTGGACAAAGTGCCGGGGCTCAAGAAAAGTTCCCTTCTTCCTCTTCAGAATAAAAGAGGTTACAGGACAAATTAGGAAGGAGCCAGCATTTTAGAAGAACTAAGTAAATCTCTGGTTGCTTGCACCTCTGATCAGAAAAGAAGGGAATTCACCTCTGTCAGTTCAGCGTTTTGGTTTTCAGGCGTGTCTGTGAATATCTGGGGAAATCTGCTTTACTTGTGATTAAGATTTTATGATGTTCTTGGCCATTTGCCATTCTCAAAGGAAGGGAGAGTAAAATAAAAATCTGGATGACAATAGCAGGGTGGGATTTTTTAAAAAGAATTTAAAAATCATTTCTGAAAATGTTGTTTTAAGCAATAAATGACAAATCAAGAATTTTTCTAAACAATTAAAAATCTGATTTTAAATGAAGCACGTGACCAGAGGCATTTTGTAATGGAAACAAATGTTCTTGAGGTTTCAGTGACCACTTTTTCATACAGTCTGATCACAGGCCACTTAAGAATTACTGATCTGGGAGATGTGAATCAAATTGTGGTTGTAGCCCCATAAAATACAGGTCCTGCTGATGGACGCAGACCAGAAGTGCAGTTGTGAAGCAACTGGAAGTTGGCTCATGAGCCTGAAAGCAGGTTTGCATCCTGACCAGAAGGAGATGCAGCAAACAATAATGGAAAACATGGTGCTAAGTGCAGAGGTCTTTCTATAGACTTTAGTGAGACCCTGTAGAAGATCTGTACCACTCCTGCAGAGATAACTGCATGGGTCCATGCCATACCAGAAATAGAGTGCATGTAGCAGGCCAGAGTTAGCAGAAAGCTAAAGAAACAATTTTGGGGAAAGACATTTAAACAACTTTTTCCAAAGGGATCTTCTGTTTTCGCCTGTCCAATTTGAGACAGTTTGGGCCCAATTTTTAAGAGAGGACGAGCAATCAAAGCTCTTACTGATTTAGGCTAATTTCAAAGCTCTTACTGCCCATCATTTCTGAGAGTCTGCTCCAAAATATCTACAGCTAAGCTTCTTGAATTAGAGACTGCTTTAGAAACTGTTGGTTTATGATCCCTTTTGCAGGGCTAAAATGCAACTGAAAGAGTCAAATAATTTATGCAGTTTATTTTTCTAAGGAAGTGGTTGTAGAAAGTTTTGAAAACAAGCAGCTATTTTCCAGAAGCTTCCAAAGCATCTCATGTTTTTAACCTTTCTTAAACCATTGAGAGAAAAAGTATTGCCCTAATCCACCCCTTCTCCAATCTCTCCTGCCAGAGGCAGGGAAAAGGATTATAAATCTGAAAATGTATGCTCATTTAAAATCCAGGAGCCATCTTATGGGTACAGAATCAAGAAAACACAGCTTCTGGCCTACAGAACAGGGAGGGTGAGAAGAAGTCTTGTGATTTACAACTCTCCAAGATCCTATAGCATAGTTTGGAATAAAGCATGCTGTAAAGTATGAGAGCACTGCTGCTGTCACTCCCGCAGCTTTCCTGGGCTTGAAGCATTATGATAACCACAAAAAAGCCAACATACATAGCTGGAAGACCAATCACTAGTGGTGTGGAGGAGTGCCAGACAATCCTGGCTTATTTCCACAGCATGGGAGCTCAGTGAGCAACATTCCCACACCATGGTACAATACAAGGAGTCAGATTTTGGTTATTTTAACTGGATGAAAAACAAGGTTGGGAGAGTCCTACCACAAAAACCATTTTTCCTGTATATAGTAGCAAGACCTGAAATTTCAAAAGTTCAGAAGGAGGTCTATGGAAACACGTTTCAATACCTATGATATATTGTTGATTTATTTGGCAGATATCTAAGCACTTAGGGGAAAAAAAAAACTAGGTCTATCGGAAATAGTATAACAATAAATAATGTTCAGGATAAGGAATTCACAAGTTTTTATAACAAGCAGCATAAGCTTTGCTGGCACTAAAATGGTTTTCATTTCATTGGTGTGAAGACATCTGTACATGCTAGGCCCTTTCTGCGCTGCCCTGTTACATTTTCAAAGGAATCAACGATGTAAAACAAGACCCTCTCTCTGGCTTCATTGCCCACTGTGAAAAAAAAACAATCAGTCTGGAAGGTGTACTTGTAAAACTCTTACTAAAGACAAGTAGGTCACCATTGATTTTTATTTCCCCATTGAAGTCATTGACCAATCTACTGTTGAATGGGAAGATGATTTCCCTCATTTATTTTTCTTCTGACAGGGTGTGTCTACACATGTGCTTTAATCCACAGTAGCCTATTTGACTGCAGATCAAAGTGGTGTGTAAAAAATCCATGCTACTAATGCACAGTAGAATAAGCATCATTTAAAAAATGCGTGCTTGCTAATGTACATTACAGCAGCTGAATGCACTTTAATTTAGTACCTCAGGGCACTTTTACACATGCTTCAAGAGCTGCTCTAATTAAAGTGCTGCCACGTCTCGTGTATTGGCTCCCTTGCGCTTAAAAATGGCGGTGGCGGCACTTGAACTAAAGTTCATTTGAGTTATAGTTCAGGTGCCCCTGCTGTCATTTTTAAGTGCAGGGATGCTGATAAATGAGGCGCAGGAGGCTGCTGGAATGCAGCAATTGCCATACTCCAGTGGACTCGATTAATCTAGTCTGCTCCGATGTGTTAGCATTCCAGCACGTCAGAGCAGCTTCCATGTTTGTGTATAGGTGTCTTCATATTGGAGGTACTAAATTTAATGCACATTAGGAAAAACACATTAATGCACATGTAGACATGCCCACAGTGTTGCATTATATAGGAAAAGACTCTAATTACCACATTATTCAAATTTATAGACTTGATTTTTAATGAATGGTTTAAGACCTGTATTCTTCTTGGATAAGTTCACACACAGACTATTAGTGACCCAACAGCAAGAATTAACTAACTACCTTCCCTTCTTAACACTGCTACAGTGGGCGCATCCACACAAGATGCTGACTGCGCAATAGCTGAAAACTACTGTGCGGTAGCACATCACAACATGGACAGTGCTAATATGTTACTGTGCAGTATTATTAGGCTAAAAGACATTCATTGGCACTACTGTGCAGTAACTCTGCTTACTGCACATTTATTTAGTACATGCTAATACAAAACTGAATAAATGCACAGTTACAATTGTGCAGTAGTGTCTCATGTAGACACACCGTATATACTTTATAAAGCATATGTGCTCATACATACCTACTTCATCTCATACCTGCCAGATCTTCTATTTACAACTTTCAGAATTTTACCTTGAGTTTCATTACCTGGAGTCTTGTGATTTTATAAGAATCTCACTGCAGGATCAATGAAAGCCAGGTTTCTAGCCATCACGGTTAAGAAGCAAACACAAAACCTTAACATCTCAAAAAACAGTAGGTAACTCAAATGGAACTCCAAATTTATTTTTAAGTCTCATGATTTCATCAGCCTGGCATGCTTTCTGAGTACTTTGGGATAGTAGAACTGCGAATCACAGACGATGCCTTCAGTAGAAGAGCAGTTGTGATAGACAGGGTTAGTAATGAGGAGGTTGTATTCTGTACTGCCACACCTTTCAGAAAAAATGAGGAAGATGCTTATTCACCCTTGAAAAATGGTTAGAAAACTATGCATGAAAAATGTAGTACACATCAAAGCACTGTTGCCAATGTTACATTTTTATACTGAAGATCACAACAAGCAGCATTTCTAACAATTCTCTGTACTTTATTGGACAGCTTCATATTACATAGGGACATTTTATACTCTAGCTTATCACCAAGGCCAATATAAATCCAAAGCCAAAAATATTAAAATATACTTTTTTTCTTCTTTTTTCTTTTTTTTTTTAACAGACTCCAAGGTCTAAACTCTCAGCTAATTTCTGAGCTTCATGTTTTTGACAGACTGAAGAAAAATCCCTGATCTGTACACATTTGAACTTGGCTATTCCAAACCAAGAACCATAACACAACTGTTCCTAAGTTTACATATTTGATGTTTCAACTGCCCGGTAAAGAAACAGCCTGGAACTCTGACTCAGATATAATTCAGCTCCAGACTCAGGTAAAGCTAAACTTATATCAAGTATTGTAGTACCAACATTTTAAAATGAGACTCCTACAAGATCTGCCCTTGTCAGCTTGCATGTACTCAGGAATCCTGTTCTCAGAGACGGAAATAAGTGAGAAGTTAGAAGAAGTATTGAGTCAGTTTTTAATCTAAACTTTCTAAATGAAACAATCAAAGGGGGAAGCATCGTCACTTAAAAATGATGTCTGTAAAAATTCCATTGGCTGGAAATGTTTGACTTGTCTAATCTATACAGGGAAGTGGAAAGGCTCTTTTAGAAAAGTTGCCTTTTGATACAAGATAGACTATTACAAAGGAACCACAATGTTTGTTCCTCAGAAGTATTTTTATGAGCCACAGGGATTAATTCTCTCTTGCAGGGAAGAGGTGGACTTATCTAAGGGGAGAATGAGCACTAGGTTCAGAGGGTTGGGAAGTGGGGAGGATCATCCTACTCCCAAGGGGGATTTTAAACCAGGTCCCGCAGGAGCTTTTGCTCTGCAAGCTGCCCCATTAGTGTACTTCTGTTGAATGCTTTAATTTGTTTAGATGATTTCAGCACAAATTTGCAAATAGTTTAAGTCTACCTGAATCTTCATCATTTTTGGTGAATGAAATAAACTGAAAATTCTGGCCCATATCCAGGTTAAATCATCAAGGAGTCCTTTTTAAAAATCCAGGGAATAGCCTGACTATTTATTACACATCACAGTCCAAATCCCTTTCTTCTCCCTTTCCATGAAACGTTCTCTATGACTAAAGAAAGCATCATTTTGCCCTGCATCCTTTATTGACGCGTATTGGGGAAATATACTTGTTTTTATTCACAGTACAGCTGAGACTCTAGAGCTATAATCCTTTCTAAAATAACACTTGGCCAAAAATAGTTTTGGTGGAGAAAAATGATTCTGTGGAAGTGGCGCTGGCCTGTATACTACACAAACTATACTTCCCTCTGATTAGCATGACCAGCTTAAAAGATCCCAAAGTAAATGAGAATTGAAACAGAAAATCCCTTTAGCCCTACTAGGATAAATTATATGGCTTTACTAAGCACATAGAAAAACTGAAGCTGGTACTCAAAAGAAAGACAACAATTTTAACCAGGGATGAAGGGACCCAATTAGCAAACACTTAACAGCAGTTACTTTATACCAAAGAAGGAAACACAAGGTTATTTCTGACAGCAGAAATAGGCATGTGTACTGCTATAGCAATAATGGAAGGAAAATTGAAACCAAAAGTTCAAAATTGGAATCTGTAATAAAGCAAGTAGGATTTGATGTTAAATCTCAGAGGGGACTACTTGTTAGCAGGACAAAGTACTGTCAGTATAACTTAAAGTTGTAAATGGCAGTTACAAGGATTTTCATTCAGTTATGGTGTCTTTCATCCCATGTGCAGAAACCTCCTATTTACTTTGATCTAGTGTGACCTAGTAGCTACAGTACAAAACTAGGACTTGGGAATTCTGGATGGCATTCTTGGATCTGCTGTAGGTGTACTGGATGATCTTGAATCATTTTACTTCTCTGGACCTCAGTTTCACCATCTGTAAAATGAGGAGGATGATACTGACTTCCTTTATAAAGTGCATTGAGATTTATGGTTGAAAAGTGCCACCTAAAATGCTAGGCATTATTATTATGACTACTACAACTGACACAATATACACCAGGAATATACACTGGCACAAAGACTGTCTCTATTTTTTTGGTAAACAAAAAAGATAAAAAAGCCGCAGTTCAGTCTAAAATTTGGTGTTGCTGCTCATTAAAAATTGGGATTTAACACATTCCTTTAAGTTCTGTTAAAAAAAAAAGATATCTTTTTTGTAATCAAAGCAGCCAACACCTAAGACCCCTCTTAAACTCTGTAGTAAGTGACTTGTACCCTTGGTGCTCCGTTGTTTCTGAGGAATGAGAAACTACAGCCTGGAAGAAAAGCCCACTAGTATTTCCAACCATAGTCAAATCCTTTTGAAATCTGTCACTTAATATTTGCAGACTACATGGCATCCTTTTCTTCAATTTGTCACTCTAGATTATGCCCACAAATAAGCATTCCCAATAGTATATTAGGGCTTTTACCACTTGGCATCTGTCAAACAATGTGCCATCAGCTTCCTACAATTGATGTTTTCAGTGGATTTCTGCTGAACACTGAAAAATAGTTTTTCTGACCTCTTTGCTACAGAGGATTCAGACACCAGCTGAGGCAACAGTCCAGTCCTGCAGTCTGACATAAGAGAAAGGGAATTAACTAAGCAACAATTGAATTTAGAAACGTATTTGGAATAGCCATTGACCATGGAAGGAACAGAAGTATTATTTTAGGTCTGCTGTCACTAAAATACATTGCATATGCTAACCTTTAGGGACATATTCATCTCGACTGACTGACCCAAACACAGGAAGATCAAAGGAATGCAGACTGCAATCAGAAGGCCAAAGCAGCAAAACCTGCAGTGTTGCATGTTACTCTGGATGCTTTTCCTCACTAAATACCTGAGTATAAACTATCAAATGGGTTTCTATGATGGTCTTATTAGGCTGAGACCTGGATTAGTTTATTGCAGCACTTCCCAAATTTGGGGGGTTTACTCCTCACCCCAGTAAAGCTGGCCATTCTCACACCCACTGCGTCAGGCACCAAATTTCATTCAATGCTTTTGTGCATGTTACATGATCCACACATGCGTGGATACTTGGGTTCTTGCCCCGCCAGGAACCTTTCATGTCCCTATGCCCCTCTTCCACCCTCCCAAAGGGGTATGCCCCACAGTTTGAGAAATGCCGGTTTACTGGTTCTTGCTTCTGCCTTTATTGGCCAGCAGAGTTAGATCCATTATGAAGATAGCATATTCAACACTGGGAAGAATGGGATCACAGAAGTGCTTTAAGTATCACCCATCCTGTGGATTAAGGGTTTGGTTCTGTTCTCACTGGCAGCAGTGGCATAATGATCATTTGATGTAGTGATGTTGGATCAGACCTTAATTGAGCAGCTTCAGAAGTCTCACCTGTGAAAGAATCCCCTTCCTGCCTCCTCTCTCTTTAGTAGTTGTCTGTTTTCCTTCTCTCTCTCATGTGTCTATCAATCCGGTTGCTAGGCGGCCAACTTGCTGCTTATGTGAGGGGCCACAGATCAGAGGGTGTGGATCTTATCCCTCTATTGTTTTGAGATCTGACCTCATGACATGGAGGCAGGGGCTTAAGCCCATGTCACTTCATTAAGTAACTATGATGTTTTTCAAATTGATTGGCCGGCATCAAATAACACCTGTCCCTGTCTGGGTCCAGGTGGTAAGGGCAAGAGGGCTATTTAAAAGGTCCCTACAGGAAGAAGGGGGACAGACATTTTTAAAACATGCACACAGCAGCATGGGCCTCTGCAGCTCTTTCTCATTCTCTGGCTATGAGAGTGAGCAACTTACCAGAAACCTAACTAGGAACTTATTTTACTGTAATCTAGTTGCATATCAAAAGGCTGACAAGCCACTCAGATTTGTTCAAGGTTGGTTTTCTTTCTATATTTTACTATTGGTATTCCTCCCCCCACCACCAATCCCTCTTTGATCAATAAATCTATCTGTTTTAACATGCCTCGCTGTGTGTGCTTAAAAAGGAAGGGACCGGCTAAGGTGGGTTTGGTGGTTTTACTTTCCTACCACATGGGAGGATGCTGGTGAATGCTTCAGGCTAATAGAAGCACCCCAAAGTCCCAAGGTGTATAGGGCCTGTGTATCCTGGGCAGCACAGGGCCCAAACAAAGACCTGAGTCTGGGTGGTGGTGGTGGTACCCCAGGCTTGTGGGTGTGCTCCAGTAAAGGGGTCAGCCAGACATAGATACCCAAGGGGAGATGCTCAAAGTTTGGTTTTTGGCCAGATGCAGTGAGGTAGGCGGCTCAGCGTAGGAATGCCCCCTACTGGCCCACTGCATCACCTCTTTGCCTCTCATAAAGAGAGATGTTGGCTGTGGTGCAGAAATCTCATAGCTGGGGAGATTTTTCCTCTTATCTTAGTGAAATAAGGGCTTGTTAGGTGTCTAAGGATGTGAGGTCGACCTTTTAATGGAGGTAAGTAGGGGCAGGGGAAGGATGACTGCAAGAGGAGCAGGCACTTGTGGAGTGCTCAGTGTAAATTCCTGTCTTACTCTCTTTCAACATATTTTTCAGTTGACAGGAATGTGTATTCTTAACTCTGAAGACTGGTGGACCAGATACAGTGTAGTAGAAAGAGGTTTAGAGAAACGTAGTTGCTGAGAAGAAAAAGCTCGTAGCTGTATGTGATTTGTGTATAGGTCACAACAGTTGAGCATTGAGGCAATGTAGGCATAGAACAGCCCCACATCTCTTACTGAACAGAACAATGGTCATAAAAACAAAAAAATGCTTTTTAAGTGGAGAAATGCCCCCTTTCCCCCCACTTACCTCAAGTGTTTTCTGCCACACAACAGGGCACTGGAGCACAGGCACTTTGAGTGGTGCAGCTACCCTTTGCATTTCTTTAAAAAAGCTGATGCTGTTTAAAAACACCAGCAACTCCCAAACCACAGGCATTTTTAGATAAACCTTGATCACCATCACTTCTTTTGGCAACAGGTAGATTTTGTGGCCATTCTGGAGTTGTAACCAAGTGGTTAGAGGTTTATCAATTCATGACATTTTATTAATGAATAATTTAACTTAGCACTTTTGCTTTTCACAAGAGATGTTCCTGGGATGTGCATGATCTGGCAACGTCTATGTCATTTTTAGTCCTTATTCTTTTGAATTACCTTTGGACTCTGTTTGGACTTTACATTTTGTAAAAATCAGAGGACTGCTGGCAGTGAACTATTTAATCAATTCAATTAACCCTCTTTTTTTCTTTGCAACCTAGCCACAAAACTTTCATGTTTTATCCAAATAGGTTTGCTTCCTATTGATTCATGTGGCTGAACAAATGCCACTCGAGGGATTAATCCTATATTGGGTGCTATGGTTATTTGTTTTATGTCTACCAAGGCCCTTGTAATGTGCCTATCACTTCATGTATGAGTGTCTGTTCATTAATGTGGGGGTCATGTAAGCCACATAATATTGTATCTGTTTCTTGTAAAGAGGAGGCATGCCTCACCAAACCACTAGTACTTTGAATTTCTCAGGGTAAAGGGAAGAAAGGAAAAGATGGAAAGATAACAGCACTACAGAAACTTGAAGACATTTATAAGCTTTTCCTGTCTTTTTTTGTATAAAGAAACGACATCAGTGCTAGCTCTGCATATGGACCCCAGATTTTAAAATAGCTGGCTCCCATCTTAAGAAGAGAGAAAGACAGAAACCAGATTTATTGGCTGTTGAGCAGACTCTTTACATTCACTTCTCTTGCCACATTGATACCAAATAACTGTGTTTACATGTAGTGTGGTCCTGTCTGAAAGGACCAGTCCCTCCACTTGCTTTTTAAATCGAGTGCCAGGGTCTAGAAGAGGTCTGGAGTCCTGTACATAGCGTGGTAGGCTATCTAACACAGCAAGTTTATTTTTTCCTCTACAGCATCAATTGAATTTATCAAACTGGCCCTCTTCTTTCCACCACCCCCTCTTATGTAGCATTACATATATATGCACAATCAGAGCTAGGAAGTACTCATCAGGGCTCAAGAACAACCTCTATGTTGGGGAATCAGAATTACCGCAAGGACTTGCAGAAACAATCTTTATCATAAGTCTGCCCCAACTGTTTGCCTAAGTAATGTGCTACTCATTTGTAACTGTTGCTGTCAGTACATATGCACACAATCCATCAAGAGTACCTATGGAGGAAGGAAACAGTATGCTAAAAACACAAAGATTATGGGAATAATCCAACAATGCACTAATTAGCATGGTAACATCACAATTACCAACCATATCTGCTAGTGCTTTGCTATCTTCTTTTTTTGGAACAAATTGACTGGAAGAAGATGCAAGTCAGGAGCTGAAGGACAGAAATGAATGCAGAGGACAGGTTTTATATCCATCCATAGGAGTAGTTGGCAGAAGCATTTAATGATATAAAGCAGGCTTGTCCAACATATGGCCTGCGGGCCGCCATGCAGCCTGCCAAGCCGTTTTCTGAGGCCTGAGGTGCTGCGATGGGAAACGAAAGTAAACACTGTTTACTTTTGTTCCCACCCCTTGTCCCTCCCCCAGCCCCTCAGCAGCTTCCTAATGGGGGGGGGGGGGCCCTTTGGCCGGCCCCCCGGGGGATAAAAAGTTCATGATCTGACCCCACATTCAAAAAGGTTGGAAATCCCTACAATAAAGAAATATCCTTCTGCAAGTGGATAAATGCTAGGGTCTCTGGAGCTTCCGATAGGCAGTAAAGAACCTCTGTGTAATATAGTGCTAACATCTTGTTTCCCTATTGTCTCAAATGCATTCTTACCTACATTTCAAGTGAAAAAGAAGGTGGCATTCATTGGCTAAGACTGCAGGCACTAGCAAGGGTCCCAGTGCTTCCATGGGATTGTCTTCTATGCAACCAGCCAACCTCACCAAGTAGCTGATAAAAAAAAATGGCCACTGAAATTGTAGGCATGGGAATATTTTTCCATTGACAGCAGTGAAGAAATCCATACCACTTGTCTTGTATGTCAGCAGATTGTTAGTAGTGGACTTGACCCAGGCTGGATGGATACCACATCTATACAAAAATGCAATGACAGGGAGCAGTATATAATGACAATCAGGTTCAATGCAGTGCAGTTCAGATGGAGAGAAACGTTTCTTGGGCTTACTGCTCTCTGTCAAGAAAGCCCAGCCTTTTCTGAGTCCCAAAAATGTTCTCAGTGCCAAAATAATGTAACAGACTCTAGCTGGGATCTTTAATGGCTACAAATATATAAAAGGTTAAATCCTTCACGTGAAGCATTGCCTGAACAAAAAATGCAAATACTTGGCTTACCTCTTACTTCTATATGTAGGGTTACAGCTTTTGGGAACTGATAGCTGATGCTGTTCTTTGCTCCTCTACCCAAGCAGGCTTTGCTGAGAAATAAATATTGTGATATAGTGAGCAGGAAATGAGAGGAAAGGTAAGCCTGACCTTGGACACAACCCATTGACCAAACCAGTCACTACAGAGCTGAGGGAGCCATAGCACTGGGATCAAGTTGCCAGTACTCCACTGCATGCCCAGGCAGATTTGAGAAGCAATGGACTGCCACCAATATGTTGGACAAGCCATATGTTGTCTTAGAAGAATGGACAATGGTTCCTTTTCCACCTTGTTGCCTCGGACAACAGGTAGGATGTAAAGCAATGTCCCTCAGTCTGAGCACTCCATAACCTCATGGCATGCAGATTTGACAATGATTTGGAAGTTGACACTTCATCAACTATTTTAGCCTTGCAGAGTTCACCATCAATTTCGAGTTTCGCTTAAAGCATCAGTGACCAGAAAAAGCAGGAGGGCGATACTGTGGCACTTCATATGGTGAACAAGCTTTCTGAGCAGCAGGCACATGTGACTTTCTAGTGATGCCATAAGACTTTACATTGGGGGTGATGACAGTATTGTCTAAGTCACTCCATTGAACTTATTGGAGTAAAACACGATTGAACAGTATAAGGAAAGTGACCTATGAATGCAATAGTAACTGTGTAAGTGCCACACACAGTGCATTCTCCCTTAAAGAAATACATCAACAATAACATGAACTCAAATCTTGAAAATACCCTTTCTTCCTTTGCCTGAGATGTAAATGAAACGTTACTATGAGAACAGGGAAACTGATGCACTAGTGAGTGGTACCTAGCAAATACTAAGCATTATTAGGCCCATTGGACAGCAGTTGACTGGCTGTTCAGAGAGGAAATGATCTACACAGAAAGGTCTGGAAGAGGATTTGGGCTTCCCATTGTTGCTCCAAGCTACAAAAAGAGCCAGTTGAAGCTGGGGCCATTCCTGTTTCCATACTGTAGGTGAAGAAGGATCTGTGATGATCAGGAAGTTTTTTTCATATAGCTGTTTGACACCTGAGCTAGGCTCCCCTTGAGCACTGGCTTTAAACATCTTTTTAAACCCCACCAGTGGTGTGGTCATCAAGAGGGACACTTGCTTATGCGCTGACAGCGTGGAGAAGCTGGAACTGCCTGTATGAGCACTGTTTCTGTGCCGTTAGCAGGGGCTGCAAAAGACATGGCAGACAGCCTTTTAAGGGGCACAGGGCAGAGGATAACATGAAAGGGATGCTTGGAGCATTGATTCACACGTGCGGTATTCCACCATGCCCTTCAGTGAAAATGTGCCAGGGACTATCTGAACTGCAGAACTCTAGAACTTCGCATTTCGTTTCGTCTCAGACCAACACGGCTACCAAATACATCCCAGGGACTATCTGATTTTTAAAGAGAACACACGCACTTTCAAATGGAGTTCATCTGACTTCATTTAAGTAATGAGTGAGGTATGTGCATGAAAGATAGAACAAGAATATTATTCTAAGCAGCTGGGAGTTGCAACTTAATTGGCAAATAGACAGCCTAGCACTAATTACTCAATAACGTTTCTGCTGTTGCTGCTTCATCTCTAGAATTTGATAGGCAAAAGTGCAACAAAAAAGAGCACAGATAAATCACTCTACCTCCTTTGGGATTTCTGTTTAGGTGGAGTTTCTCTCTAAGGAGAACAGGGAGGAGACACCCTTCACATGTGATGAGGACATGGCTGCTGCTTATGATGCTGCAGCCGATCAGTAAGGTCTTGAATTCATATGATTTTCAATCAGCCCTCTCAAGTTTTTAATGGATACCTAGCTCCTTTTCAACTATAAAGCACAAGGTACTCTACAAAAAAGGTCAGTATCATCATCCCTGTTTTACTATTGAGGAAACGGAGACCTACTGTGATGTAAAGTGATCTAGCCTAAAGTCACTCAGCAAACTAGTAGCAGAGGCAGGAATAGAGCACAGAATTTAGACTGGTATAACTTTTTTGCTTTTTTGGAGCTGAGTTTCCACCCTCCCCTTCCTCCCCCCCTTGACCAATACAGCCCCTGTGTAACTGTAGTTTATATTAGTATAAAGGTCCCTCACAATGGCACAACCTGTCCCTTTTCCATTTCAGGAATAAAATAGATTGATATGAAATATGGTTTATACTAGTTTCACTATTGTGTACATACCAGAATGGGTGTAAGTTAACTATACTGGTATAGTTGAAGTGCTACATCTGAAACCTAAATGGCTTGTCTAAACAGAGACAAGCAGGAAAATTAATTTGAATTCAATCTTAACACAAATGAGCTAAACCACATTAAACCCTGTGTAGACACTCTCCTTCAGAATTAAAACAGCTTTAATTCAATATAGTTTATTTCAGTTGCAATGTGAATTCCACTGAATTAAATGAAGGACACTTGAATTTTGAATAAGGTACCATGGAGGGGTTTAATGCAGTTTAACTGTTCCAAGATCACACCTTCAGTAAATTCAGATTGGCTTTTTCGAATACGTCTGCAAAGCCTTAAACTGTATGAACTTTGGGTCAGGGACCACTTCTTACTCTGTTTACACAGCCACAGTGGGGCTCCAAATTTTAGCCAGGGACTGCTCAGTTCCCTGGTACAAGCATTAAGTAAGAACAAGGAAGCTTGCACTGCTACTTTCTTTCTTTGACATAGTGTCATATCCCCAAGAGGCTTGTTATCTTAAAGACAGTCAAAACAGTGCTAAACTGAGAGGAAAACAGAAACATAGAGCCTCTGAAGTAACACAGTTCACTTAGATTGAGGGATCTCATCCAGCTTTCCTCTCCAATTTTTCATCATGCTCACTTTTCCGTCTAAACAAGAAACATTATTAAAACGAGAAGATTAGTGGTAAGAACAATGTTGATTTTTAATGTGCTTTGAAAAGAAGGAAACCCCCTGCAACTCATTTGCAAAACAAGCCTCCAAAAATATCCTGCACACATACGTACCTATTTTACACTCACGCACACCGAAGTGCATGCTGTGGCGACAGCTGCTCTTATTTAATGGACCTGCTCAATGGGGCTACCTGTTCTCAACCTAATTTTAGTATTATGTTAAAGAGAGAAGTCTCTCTATATAAGATCTGACAGGCATGTGTTCTTGAGGAAGTGGAGGGGAAGCCCTCTGTTCATATGACTAATTAGACAGGCTTCATGCTGGGTTGCTCTTTTTTGATGCTGATCCCTGTACTAATTGTCAGTTTGTTCTTCAGGAAAGCAAGGTTGAGTTCAAATGCTGCGGTGCCTTATTCCCTATTAGCTTTCCTGACCTTAAACTGATGTGAATTGACAAGGAACAGACTGAGAGAGAGGTTCATTCCACTTATGGAGTGCACATTTTGGAGGTTTTTGTAGGAACCTGCCCCCCTTAGAAATACAATTAACACACTTCTGCAGACTGCAGTTATCACTTAGATAAAGTCACCAGTTGTATTCCTGAAGCAATTGGCTGAGGAATTCTAGGAGGGGGAGGTTTGTTTCTTAATGGGTGTACACACTGGTGTGTTTATGTAATACGTTTTGACAGTATCTGAATTTTAGATATTGCAACCCCTCTAGACTAGTGCATGCATCATATTTTTCTTCAGCTGGATTTCTGTCAATACTTTTTGCTCTTGTATTTAACCAGACAGAAAGAAAAGTTAATTGCCAAGTATTTTCTCCCCCACTGGTTAAACTTGCAACAATTTAAGACAAGCTTTATATAAGCCACAACTGAATGTCTGAACCAGGCCTCAAGCCCTGCCCTCTTCTCACCAATCAGTCTTTACTGTGGCTTGTTCAACTTTGCACTGGCTTTCATGGTGTGAAAGCAGGACAGAATTTAATCAAATCAGACATATAGAACTCAGCCCTGCAAGGTACTGAGCTCTCTGGCCCCAATCTAGCAAAGCACCTTATGCACATATGTGACTTCAAAGGGATCACTCTCATGCTTAAAGTTGAGCATGTGCTTAAATGATGTGCTGGATCAGGGCCAAAGTGGGCAGCATCTTTCAGTGTGGGCTCAGTCATGCAAGGTGCTACCTTTTTCTGATTTAATTGAGTTGGTAAAACAAAAATGAGTCATTAAGCCTACTGAAAAAACATTCCTTCCTCACTAATGGCTGAAGCCTATATTACAATTAAGGCAGACTGCTGTCAAGATATTTTATACATAACCTCTTTTTTGTTTCTTTATGAAGAATATTCCACATCTACATTTCAATGCTTGTTTTTATCTTAGGAAAAGAAATCAGAACTTTTGACTCTTACTTTTCCTGTTTGCACAGAAGACCTCTTAGAGGTCAAAGAAAATGTTGTGAGCTTTCCCAGCTTCCAGCTGAAGATGGGCCTATTAAAGTTTTTAGCAAACAAACCTTCCTTCCACTGTTTGTAGGGCATTTGAGTCAAATAGATGTTCTCAGAAAGAGGTTGAGGTAAAGAGAATTAAGAAAAAAATCACTACCATCACAACTAATCTGGTTTGACTGCCAGATCATACAGTCCTTTCCATAAACTGATAAAGCAACTTCTAAAAGTTGATCAGGTTGTTTGCCCACACTGCTCTGACTGGGAGGCAGCTCTAGCATCTCTGTTGACGTTAGATCAGATTGTAGAACAAGGTGGTCCTTCTTTCTCCTCTCCAGCTCATTCCTATGTTTTTCTGGTTGTTGGTTTTGAACAACTGAAAAAAAAAAACATTTAACCCATCTGTGTAACTTTTTGGAGTACAGTTGTCAATACGGACCAATCCGACATATGGGAATAATTGTGGTATCTCAGATGCCATTTATGGTATATAATTTACATGAATTTTAGGATGTTGCTCTGAGGGTACAGGGCTGAGGTCTTGACAATCATTAGAGAACACACCCTTACCTGTGCAATATAGAATAAATGGAGACCTTCACTATGTTGCAAGCACTTACGGGATGCTCTTTTCAATCTCTTGTAGAATATGCATTTTTCAAGTTTTTCATTTAAGTTGTGTGAATTTCATAGCATCGTGTTTTGAATATTCTCCCTTCTCAGAAACTTTTCAGACAAACAAGTCTGTGAACTTCCCAAGTAGGATGGAGAGAAAAAAACAGACAGGCTGAAGGAGCAACACATGCATAAGACCCAATCCAATGTGGCATGTAGAAGGGTGAGGTGAAGCACAAAAAGTAAGCATCTTACAAGCTTTTCTGACTGTGTCTTGGCTCAATCTAAAGTCAGTTTGGGTGGTTATACCTTGTGGCAGGGCCCTCTGGACTGTTACACTGGCACAGTACCAGAAACACAGAGCATTTTATTCGTATCTCCTTCCATTCCTTCTTCCCCTGACCTCCGGTTACCATTGATATGCTCCCCATGGCAGCAAATTTATACCAGCTCTATTCAAGACAAGGAGACCCCTTTTCGAGGTAGGTGTTGCAACCTCTTTACTCTGTCAAGCTCCTTAACGGAACTACAGCTTAGGGCACAATGCCACTCTTTACTCAATTACCAGTAGAACTGGTAAGCATGTTTCGAAGTGTTGTGGTTTTATTTCATTTACTTATGGATTGATAAATAATGGCTTGTTTTGTCAAAATGGAAGTTTCTTTATGAATTGGTTGTTGGTTGAATGTTTTACCAAGCCTCCAATAACTGAGAGTGCTTGTGGTGTTTTGGGAATTTGAGGTTTTCAGATTTTGTTTATAATTTTTCAGTTGCTGGGGGAAAAATCTAGTTTTCAGTGTAAACCCAAAACCTTAAAAAATCTTTCTATAAAGATGAAGATGTACAGGAACAAGAACAACAACATTCTCAATAAGCTTTATTGCAAAAATAAAAACACACACAACTGCACAACAACAAAAACAGAGGGACATGATATCATTATTCCAAAGGCCTTGAAATCTAAAGAGACAGCTTTTGCCACTGCCTTCTTTTTATTGTTTAGTATTTGTATTGCCTAGTATCCCACTGTGCTATATATTATAAGGAGACAGAACAAAAAGATGGGATAGGTAGCATGTCAGTCAAGAGACAAAAGGTACTGTTATGCTGGTAGACGGGTGCCTAGTATGTTAAGACTTCTAACAATTGTCCAGTTTTATAGGCATCCATGCAGAGAAAGCATTAGAATAGGGGTGGCCAACCCATGTCATGGGTGCCACAAGTGGCACAGACAGTCTGTGTGTGTGGCATGAGGTTATTGGGGAGGAGACAGGCAGCACAGTGGCAGTTAGGGCAGGGACCATAGAGCTAGGAGCAGAAAGCAGAGCAGCAGATGAAACAGAGAGCACAGGAATAGGGCCAGAAAGCATAGGAGCAGATCAGGCATGAGAAGGGTATTGGAGTGGCACTTGGGGAGGATACGGGGCTAATTTCTGAGACGCCTGCCAAAAAGGAGGAATATTAGAGGACTGTATTAGACGAAGAATTTGGAGGATAGTGAAGCATCTTTGTGGTTTTATCTCCCAGAGTTGGCAGTGAACAAATAGATTCAGGGCTCCCATATAATCTTCTTTATGGACCCCCTTTCCTCCCACTGGTTGTAATAGGTCACCAAGCCCAGAATCATAAAAAACAATGTAAGCATAAGTAGAAATTACCTCAGTCATCTTTCATAATTTCTCATGTCATATCTCAATAGAAAGACATTGGCTTGTGAACATCTCCCCACCCATTCACTGATTACCTCTCACCACCCTTTGCAATCAAGTGACTTCCTGCTGGCAATTACTTCAATTGTGTATTTAGAAGATGTATATTGAGAAACCATTTACAAACTTAACATATTAAGTTTGCAGTAGAAAGGATACAGAATGTCACAAGTGACATATCAACTCTCTCCCATCATGTAGTCCTTCAGACCAAAAAAGCAAACTTTCCCATTCAACCATCACATCCCTCTACCAATGAACATCCAATAAACTTTGGATGAGGAGTAACATGTCATTCTTATGCCCTCAAAGGGCGCATCCAGATGAGTGCGGTCATGTGGTATGTGGTAGGGTGTGCAAAGCTTCAGTCCCTGATTCAATTTGGCGGAGATTTGGCCTGATTCGGTGGCAAATCTCCAAATACAAATCAAATCAGAGGACCATTTAATCTCTCCAAATCAATTCAGAAACATTCAGCAACTCGGACATAGATACAGCTTTAAATGTTTTTTTTACATACCTCCAGGTACCAGATGGCTCATGAGTGCTGCAATGCTGGGGTGCATGGAGTGTCCCACAGGAGCAGGGGGATCTCCCCAGCATGCTCGGCAGCAGACCTAGAAGTGGACCAGAAGTACTTACAGTCTACTTCCAGGTCCACCAGGGAGCATGCTGGGGCTCCCCCCCCCGCACCCCTCTGGCTCAGCGACTGACTTCCCCCCCCACACACACTCCTGTGGGATGCTTTATGCACCCCAGCATTGCAGCGTTCACAAGCCATGCTGGTACCTTGAGGTATGTAGAAAAAACTTTTAAAGCTGTGTCTATGGCTGAATCACCAATTCTCTGAATCAGCAGTGAATCTTCACATTCAGATTCAGCTGAATCGAATCAGGGACAGTGATCCGAATCAATTAATCGAATCACTATCCCTGATTCAGGTCGAATCCAAATTGAATATGGCCCGCTTCGCATACCCCTAGTATGTGGCGCTGCAGACACATTTGTGTGGAGTTCTCCATATTGCAAGGGCAAACTGCCTGAGCATGCACTGCTTGGTTTGGGGGGTTTTTTGTTTGTTTTTTTAGGCTTTGTTAGTTTTAGGCTTTCATAAGTTCATCCATAATGTCTCATTTATCTCTGAAATAATATTATTTACAGTGTTTCCACATACTTTTATTTGTATTTCTTATAGTGTTCAGCTACTATACTACTTTATATATGATCACAAAATAGGATTAAGCTACTTTATAAACTTGTATGAGGAGACATGTAAACAACAGAGTATGAGATAATTATGATGGAAAAACAAAGAATATGATGATGTTTGATATTTTGTTCCTTTTGTCTAATAATGGTTTTTAAAAAAATGAACTGGTGTAAACAGTGTACTCCTGAAGAACTGTTTCTACTGAATATTGTCCTGGTTTCAGTAGAATGCACATGCATCAGAGATTATACCAAGATCATTATAGAAAGAGTTTGTTTGAACACCCTCCATATGAGATACAGGGCATATGGAACACAAAAGTTCCTTTGAAGTGCCTTTGCAATGATTAAAAATCATTCTCTAATGTCTGCTGAAATGAGTATCATGGAACTACCGCTACTGATATGACAGAGATCATCATCAGTCCAGTGTTTGGTCAGCTGACATAGTAGTAACCCTGCACAGATGGAAAGGAGTACCTCAGTGGTATGATCTCTGACCTGAGATTTTCAGTTTCATCTTTACTGTTTAGAGAGGAAATGGGAGAGTACATGGCAGGCTCAGGAACTGAGGTGTAGGTCATTAAAACGCAAAGACATTATGTATAGCATTTAATGAAATAAAAGAAACAGACTAAACATAAGATGATATTTCACACTGTGTATGTAAGGCTTCAATTATGCAAGGGAAGCTCTTATCACAACTATAACTGGGTGTTTATTATCTCTGCTATTGCCAGATATGTGTGTGTATATATGGAGAGAGGGAGACAGTTTATGTAATTTATGCCATTTTCCCTTCATTAACTATCATTTGACCCAACTGGGTAAGATTTTCAGGAGTGCTCAGCATACAACAGTTCCCATTAAGAACAGTTGGGGGTTCTGAGTATATGAAAATCTAGCCCATTATATACACACAACATAATCACTGCTAGAAACAAGTCTAGAAACTCTCACATAGTTGGTTCAAAAGACACAGACATGGAGGATTTTGGCCAAAGGCTATAGTGATGGAATATGGGCAAAGCAGGAATTCCTTGGATAGATATAACTGAGGGGAGGACTTGGCTCTGTATTTTCCAGGTAATGTTGATAGTAAGCCCCTGGAATTTGTACAAATATCATTTTTTACAAGACTGAACATAGAATTTTCCTTATTAAATATTTTGAAAAACCTCTTTTGCTTCTCACATTAAATCTGTCTTTGCCGGGTAATGAAATCAGAAAGGCTTTGTCAAAGACAGCATAAAAATACAGGACATCAGACCAGCTAAAATGAAACAAAATATCCAGGAAGAGCACACACCAACTGCTGAAACTTCCTTAGCCTGACAAAGGGTTTTTGAACCCGAAAACTTGCTTAATAATTGTTTTCCAACTATTTAAGTTGGTCTAATAAAAGATATCAGATTCACCCAAAGAACCTTGTCTGCCTATGTCCTTAGACCAACACGGCTACAGCCTACACCCCCTACAAATAAGCTAAGAGATACAAGCAACAAGTAAAACTAAAAGATACTGTTATAACTGACCTGCATATGGAAAATTTTAGCTCAAGCAAAACAAAATGTATATTTAAACTTGTGCATAGATATAAGTAAATTAGCTGGGTTAAAAAAAGATGCCTCCTGCTGTGTTGCTCAATAATTACTCATGACTAAGAAGCATTACTAAAGTCTGCTACTTTCAGTGTCGTCATTGCATAGCAGTGTGGTACATGTGCCTAATCAAGACACTAAATGGATCCAGCAAAAGCCACTTAAATGTAAAGGTCCTCACATAATATAAGGAATGTACTACCTTTCTCTCCTCACGTGAGAAATTGTTGTGGTAAACAATTTTGAAGACTATTTATTTTTCAGGGGGAAAAAAATCATTTTTCTAATTGCAAGAACTGTTTTGCTAATTTTTATACTCCCTCCCACTTGAAGTGTTGGGTGGAGGGACTAACTCCATCTTCCAGTGGGTTCAATGGTAGCTTTCTCAGCTGCATAGGACACAGCAGCAGGCCTCTTAAAGTGTTGAAGTAGATTCATACAGCAAATAGTCTTGTGTTAACTATCTTTTTCTTCAAGAACATGAAAAATGTTTTTCCTTTTTAAAATTTTGATTTAAAAAATAACAAACAGCAGCATCAGAAAAATGGGGAGAAGAGGTGATTTTCTGTGGCCAATCGAAGCAGAATTCCAAAGTCATGGACTAGAGTCAAGGTGCAAAGTTCTGATAAGCAGCTAATCATACATAAATATGTAAAGCTAAAATTTCAAGAGTGCATGACTTTCTTCTATGGAGTACAAAGATTCTTCTTATAAGCAAAAAGT